CTGCGGGCGCCTGCGTCAGGCCTCACCGTCGTCCCACACACCTGCGGGCGCCTGCGTCAGGCCTCACCGTCGTCCCACACACCTGCGGGCGCCTGTGTCAGGCCTCACTGTCGTCCCACACACCTGCGGGCATCTGTGTGTCAGGTGCTCACCTTCGTCTCACACACACCTGTGGGTACCTGTTTGTCAGGCTCCATCATCTCACACACCTGTGGACATTTGTGTGTCAGGCGCTCACTGTTGTCACACACCTGTGGGCACCTGTGTCTTAGGGTCAGTTGGTGAGAAAGAAGAACACCAGGCATGAGGTCTGAAATTCCACAGAAGGGAGCCTGAGAGGTGAGCCTGATGTTGGCATGGGTTCCTTGTCAGGCGTTTGGACTGTGGGCAGCGGTGGCAGCTGAGAGCCAGGGCAGCTGAGGGTGTTCGGCCTCTCCTTTGCCCAGGGCCTGTCAAGGAGGGAGGCCTCTGGCTGCAGGTCCTAAGAGGGCACCCACTCAGGAGTGAGGACAGATGGGACATAAACAGGTCCTCACAGGGTCTGCAGCCCAGCTTCACCGCTGGCTGATCCCAGAGGATCTGCCCTCCCTCTACCCTAACGACCTGCCATGAGCCAAACTCCTCTAGAGCAGGGTAAGCCAGCCCACAGCCTGAGGGCCACACTCGCCCAGGGCAGGCCTGACCGAGCCACCCCACTCGCCTGCGCATTGTCTGTGGCTGCTTTTGAGCTAAACCAGAAAACCCCATTGCCCTTGAGTAGAACTGCCCCCTAGGGTTTCCAAGGCTTTGTTATGGAAGCAGACTGCCACATCTTTCTCCCCCGGAGGGGCTGGCCTTTTGGTTAGAGGCCAAGTGCTTAGCCACTGAACTGCTAGGGCTCTGTGCTTTGGAGCTACAACCCTTAAATACAAGGCCATGGAAAGGCTGGAAGTAAGGAGGAGAGCAAAGATACACCTGCAGACACTGGTCTACAGAACTCCACCAGACAAAGGAGACTTCAGGGAAGAATGACTGGGAGAGGTCAAGACAGACCCTCCATGGATAGCAGGGTCAGCCCACCAGGGAAACACAACAATCTGTGTGTCTGCAAATAACAAACGTATGGGTACCTACAAACATGGCTTCGAAATGGACAAAGCAAAAATGAGCAAGAGACAATGCATAATCATGGGTGTGTGGTGGTTAAGGTTGTGTGTCAACTTGGCTGGGCCTGGCTGAGTGGCTGGGTGGCTGGATGTAGTATTCCCTATGATGAGACTGGGAATCAACTCCCTGGTGGAATCTACTGTGAACAGCTAAGTAGCTGCCTTAGGGATGTGCTCTGCTTCCCGTATATAAGGAGAAGTCTTGGGGAACAGTCTCGAGCTTATGGCACACTTGGACCCTGCATGTAGCTGTGTCATTGCTCAGTAGCCTGACATGCTCTACCAACCTTGGGACTTACAATGGACTTGAATTAATGGCCTGCCATGTGGCTTGGTAACATTGGGACTGTGCCTTTTTACTCGTCAACCTTGGGTTTGTCAGCCTCAGCAGCCAGCAGCTGTCTGAGTGAAGAAACACCTCTAGCTCCAGCAGGCTGGGAACAGGAGGCAGAGCTGGACCCCAAGGTTGAGGGGCTTTCACCCAGCCCCTAAAGCCTGGCACTTTGAACTTGGACTTAAAGCCTCCAAACTAAGAGAATAAACTCCTGTTTGTTAAGGCCATCCCATTTGTGGTATATTCCTGTCAGAGAGAACAGGGAGGTTTCAACATTCCTTTCAAAGTAGTGGAGCAATCAGGAAGTAAATCAGTAAGGATACTGAAAGCTTGAAAAACACGAATTAACTAATCAACACACAGAAGTCTGTGTCCAACTGCAAGCGACATGCTGTTTCTAAATACAAGATGGAGCATTTACAAAAACTGACCAACTGTTGAGTCATAACCACAGTGGGGTTAAGTTAAATATCAAAACAAAAAAGATAAGAAAAGCAATGCAGTACTGATCAACCCACAGGTCAAAGAAATCACCATGGATGTTAGAAAATATTTTGCACCTAACAGTGTTGGAAATATGATATACCAAGATTTGTGGGGTGCAGCTTAAGTTGTGCCTAGAGGGAAATTCATAGCCTTAAATGGAAATATTTGAAAGGGAAACATGCTAACAATCTAAGTGTCCTCTGTAAGAAGGTATAAAAAGTTTAAAAATCAAGCCCAAAGAAAGAAGAGGGGAGGAACCCCTGGAGTGTTAAGTTCACTGCTGATTATTGAAAGGTGTTTGGATGTTTATTCCTAGTCATATCACAAGTTATTCCTAGTAAAGAACAGGAACTTAATGACTTGTTTGATGCCGTTTCCTGTCTCAAAAAAAAAAAAAAAAAAGAATGTGGATCAGAAGTGCCTTCTACCTGGATGGGACACAGCCCATGAGGACGGCTGGGCTGTGGGGCAGGGTGAGCAGGGAGGCTGACTTAACCTCAGGTAGAGTGTGCTTATGACCCTACCCCAGCCGGCCGGGTTGTGCCCTTCCCCTAGGAATGTTCTCCCTGGGGCCCAGAGACTTGTCCTGTCTTACCCCCTGCCACCCACTGCCTGGGTGAAGAAGAAACCCATCCACTGCCACTGACCTGATCCTGACTCATAGCAACCCTGTGGGATGGATCAGGACTGCCCTCACAGGGCTTCCGAGGCTGTAGTTATGGAAGGCCACCACTCGCCTATCCGTTCATTGCACTGTGGTGGCTTACGTGTTGCTGTGAGGCTGGAGGCTGTGCCACCAGTATTTCAAACACAAGCAGGGTCACCCATGGTGGACAGGTTTCAGTAGAGTTCCAGACTAAGACAGACTTGGAAGAAGGAAGGGACCATACCAGTATTCCTTCTGAGTGGTTGGTGGGTTTGAACTGTCAGCCTTCTGGTTAGCAGTCAAATGCCTTAGGCACTATGCCACCAGAGCCCCTCTGGAAAAACCAGCCACTGAAAATCTTATGAATAGCAGTGAAGCTCTGTCTGGTATGTTCCTGGGAAACTTTACGCAACACTGTCTGACACAGTGCCGGAACATGGGCCCCTCAGATCGGAAGGCACTCAAAATACAACTGGACAGAAGTTGCCTCCTCAAAGTAGAGTCAACCTTAATGATGGTGGGTGGAGTAAAGCTTTCGGGACCTCCATTTGCTGATGGGGTCTGACTCAAAATGGGAAGAAACAGCTGGAAACATTCATTAATAATTGGAATGTATGAAGTGTGAATCTAGGAAAACTGGAAGTTGTCAGAAATGAAATGGGATGTGTAAAGGTCAATATCTGGGCATCAGTGAGCTGAAATGGACTGGTTTGGCCACTCTGAATCAGACAATCACATGGCCCACGAAGCCAGGAATGACAAATTGAAGAGAAATGATATCACATTCACTGTCAAAAAGAAATATCTCAAGATCTGTCTGAAGTACAATGCTGTCAGTGACAGGATAATACCCATATCCCTATAAGGAAGACCAGTGACTGTGACTATTATTCAAATTTATGTACCAGTCACTAAACCAAAGATAAGACATCGAAGATTTTTACCACTTCTGCAGTCTGAAATTGACCAAACATGCGGTCAAGAAGTATTGATAATTACTGGTGATTGGAATGCCAAGGACAGAGACAAAGAAGGATGAGTAGCTGGAAAATATGGCCCCGGTGACAGAGACACCGGTGATCACAAGACAGAATTTTGCAAGCACAATGACTTATTCATTGCAAAGACCTTCTTTCTCAACAACATTAATGCTGACCACACGTGGACCTCACCAGATGGAAAACACAGGAATCATATCGACTACATCTGTGGAAAGAAGCAATGGAGAAGCTCAGTATCATCATCAGAACAAGCCCAGGGTGTGCTGGTCTCATGGAGCCTGGTGAGACCCGAGACTATGGCCCCTACTCACCCTTCACGTCTGGAACTGAGCTCAGTCCTGTGGCTTCCAGCCAAACAATACACGGCCTATGGGGTGAACACTGACACCAGGTACATACACACCTTGGAGCGATCGTGGGAGAACAGAGGGCAGTGTTTGCTCAGGGAGACAGCTCTGGGGGTGGGAGTGCATAGGAGGGAAGGACACAGGAAAGAGCTAACTTCAGGGAGGAAGTAGGAGGAGTGTGACATTGTGGGAAATTGCAGTCAATGTCATGAAACAAAATGGGTATGAATTGCTGTAGGGAAAATGAATTTGCTCTGTAAACTTTCACCCAAATTCACAATAAAAATTAAAACAAAACAAAAAAACAAGGCCAGGAGCTGACTGTGGAACAGACCATCAATTGCTCCTACGCAAGTTCAAGTTGAAGCTGAAGCTGAAGCAAATTAAAACAAGAGCCAAAATATGACCTCGAGTATATCCCACCTGAATTTAGACACCACCTGGGGGCGCAGTGCCTAAGGCATTGGACTGCTAACCAGAAGGCTAATGGTTCAAACCCACCAGCCACTCCTCGGAAGGAAGACTGGGCAATCTACTTCCATTGAGATATACTGCCTCCAAAACCCAAAGAGGAGTCACTATGAGTCAGATCTGACTCAATGGCAGTGAGTCCTCAGAAACCCAAAGAGGGGTCGCTCTGAGTTGATCTGACTCGATGGCAGTGAGTTTGGTTGGTTTTTTGAAGAACACATTTGATGACTGAACAGCAATAACCAAAGAGCAGACGAGCTGTGGGAGGACATCAAGAGCAGCATCCATGAGGAAAGGTCATTAGAAAGACAAGACCATGGTGTCAGAAGAGACCATGAAACTGGCTCTTGAATGGAGAGTAGCTGAAGCGAATGGAGGAAATGATGAAACAAAAGAGCTGAACACAAGATTTCAAAGGGCAGCTTGAGAGGACAAATGAAGTATTATAATGATACCTGGAGTTAGAAAAAAAAAAAGGAAGAACACGCTTGGCATTTCTCAAGCTGAAAGAACTGAGGAAAAAATGTAAGCCTTGAGTTGTAGCACTGAAGGAGTCTAAGGGCAAAATACTGAATGATGCAGGAAGCATCAAAAGAAGATGGAAGGAATACACAGAGTCACTGCACCCAAAAGAACGGGTCAGTGTTCAGCTATTTCAGGAGGCAGCATATGATCAAGAACCAGTGGTATTGAAGGAAGAAGCCCAAGCTGCACTGAGGGAACTGGTGAGAAACAAGGCTCCAGGGACCGAAAGGACACTTGAGAGATGTTTCAACAAACACATGCACGGCTGCTGGAAGGCCTTACTCGTTCATGCCAAGAAATCCGGAAGACAGCTACACGGCCAATGGACTGGAAGAGATCAGGGTTTGCGTCCGTTCCAAAGGAAAACAAAACGCGAAAAAACAAAGAAAAGTGACCCAAAATAGCATGGAAATTATTGAACAATATCATTAATGTCATAAGCAAATAAATTTCACCAGAGATCATTACAAAAGAGTTGACAGGGAGCTTCCAGAAACGCAAGCTGGATTCAGAAGAGGACATGGAGCAACGGTATCATTGCTGGTGTCAGATAGACCATGGCTGAAAGCAGAGAATACCAGAAAGACGTTTACCTGCGTTTTACAGACTATGCAAAATCATTCAACTGTGTGGATCATAAATTATGGATAACATTGAGAAGAATAGGAATTCCAGAACACTTAATTGTGCTCATGAGGAACCTGTGCACAGACCAATAGGCTGTTGTCCAAACCAAACTAGGGGACACTGCATGGTTTAAAATCAGGAAAAGTGTGTGTCAGGGTTGTATCCTTTCACCACACTTATTCAATCTGTATGCTGAGCAAATAATCCGAGCAGCTGGACTGTATGAAGAAGAGTGTGGCATCAAGATTGGAGGAAGACTCATTAACCTGCTATATGCAGATGACACAACCTTGCTTGCTGACAGCGAGGATGACTTGAAGTACTTACTGATGAAGATCAAAGACTATAGGCTGCAGCATGGATTACAACCCAACATAAAAAAAATGAAAATCTTCACAACTGGGCCAATATGCTGTGTTCTGGGGGTCAGCATCATGATAAATGGAGAAAAGATAGAAGTTCTCAAAGATTCCGTATTGCTTGGATCCACAACCAACACGCAGGGAAGCAGCCGTCATAAAGTCAGACATCGCAGTGCACTGGGAAAAGCTGCTGCAAAGACCTCTTAAAGGGTTACAAAGCAGAACAGTCGATCGCGGGAGAGCTGAAGGGCAGTGCGCAGGGAGACAGCTCAGGGGCAGGGGTGCATGGGAGGGAAGGACACAGGGAAGAGGTAACTATGCGGAGGAAGCGGGAGGAGAGCTGTTACACTGTGGGGAATTACAGTCAATGTCATGAGACAAAATACGCAGGAACTGCTGTAGGGAAAGTGAATTTGTTGTCAACTCTCACCCAAATCACAATTAAAACATAAGTGTTAAGAAGCAAAGATTGTCACTTTGAAGACCAAGGTACACCTAAGCCAAGCCATATTTTTAATCCCCTCAAATACCCGTGTGTGGGAGTTAAGGTTGTGTGTCAACTTGGCTGGGCCTGGGTGAATGGCTGGACAGCTGGTGGTAGTTATTCCCCATGATGAGACTGGCAATCAACTCCATGGTGGGATCTACCACAAGCAGCTGAGTAGCTGCCTTTGGGTATGTGGTCTGGTTCCCATATATAAGCAGCAGCTTTGGGAATGGTCTCTAGCTTATGGCACGCTTGAACGCTGCATGTAGCTGAGTCATTGTTCAGCAGCCGCCATACTGTGCCAACCTTGGGACTTACAATGTACTTGAATCAATGGCCCGCTGTGTGGTTTGGTAACGTCGGGTCTGTACCTTTTTAATGTCAACTTTGGGCTTGTCAATCTCAGCAGCCAGCAGCTGTCTGAGCAAAGAAAAGCCTCCAGCTTCAGTGGGCCGGGAGCAGGAGGCAGAGCTGAAGCTCAAGGCTGAGGGGCTTTTACCCAGCCCTAGAGCCTGGCACTTTGAACTCAGACTTAAAGCCTCCAAACTGGAAGAGAACAAACTCCTGTTTGTTCAAGCCATCCCATCTGTGGTATATTCTTGTCAGAGTGGCACTAGGGAACCAGAACAATGTGCTGGACAATGAATAAGGAAGACTGAAAAGCAGTTAATGCGTTTGAACTGTAGTGCTGGCGAGTAACACTGAACGTGCCGTGGGCCACCACAACGGACCAAGCTGTCCTGCACGGAGACAATGCTGCGCGGACGTGAGAACGGCCAGGCCGCCTCACCTCCCTCGGTCGTGTTGTCAGAAGGGACCTCCCTGCACAAGGGACGACGAAAAAGGGGCAGGCTCTCAAGGAGGTGGACTGGCACAGTGGCTGCAGCGATGGGCTCAGGTACAGCAGGGATGGTGAGGCTGGCACCGGGCCGGGCAGCGTCTCGTCCTGTTATGCACAGGGTCGCTATGAGTCAGAGCCGACTGGACGGCACCTAACAGCTTTATGAAAGTAGACCGCCTCTTTCTCCTGCAGAGCAGCTCGCGGGTTCCAACCACCGACCTTTGGATGAGCAGCCGAGGGGTTTAACCACTGTGCCACCAGCCCTCCTTGGAAGAGGAAGGGGCTCTGAAGTTCCCCGACAACAGAGACTCAGGGAGACACCGCTATGGATCACAGGGGAGCACACCTATACCCTGTTCCCTCCTGCCCTTTAATCTCATCTGTTGGGGCCATAACCACCTGACAGGAAAGTGCTGGAAGGCTGAAGGGCAACAGCAGTGACCGGGCCCTTCCCTGGGAGGCTGGGCTGAAGAGCTGACCCCCAGAACACAGCGTCACCCCTGCTCACCCCAGCTCCCAGGGAGTCAGAGTGGCATCTCGGTTCCCCCTTCTTCGGGGCACACCTGACCAGGTGTAAAACAGCCTGGCACAGGAGGCAGGCATGTCCACCGGGCACCCCACCAGCCCAGCCACCACTCTGGCCTCTTGGGGCCACATCCCCCAGCCAGGGCCAGCAGCTGCAGCAACAGTGCTGGCCTCAGCTTCAGACAGGACACGTGCAGGACAGAGACCCAGGAACTGTCAGGAAGGCCCAAGCCCTTGAGGTCCAAGGCAGGTTGTTTTTGTTATGATGTGTGGTAACTAAAAACATGAGAAACCAAGCAAACAGGGACCCGGGCAACTGGGGGGAGGGGGCGGGGTGGGGGCGGGAGAGAGCAGCCGGCACACGGCTGGCGCTCATTAAGTGTCAGTGAACGAACGGGGGTGTGTGTGTGTGCGCGTGCGTGTGCGTGCATGACAAAGCAAAACACCCCACTCAGCCCGCAGCCGCTTTCTCCTCGTAGCCCTCAGCAGCTTCAGACGGCGGGATTCTTGGTTTTCTCGGTTGAAGCATCCACGTTTGTGCCAGGACAAGAAAGCTGGTGCCTCCCCTCAATTTGGACCCCTGCCCTTCCCGGGCGTGAGGAGCCAGCTCCTCCCAGGCCTCAGGTGCAGGGTCCCGCCGACCCTGACCCTCTGTTGTCCCCTCCGGGCCCCTCCTGTCTCTGGGCAGGTGCAGCTGAGGCAGGTGAGGGTGGGGGCGCCATGGGCAGTCGAGGAGCCCTCCTGGTGTCCCCAGCAGGCCCGAGCCCCTCACCACAGCCCCAGGACTTAGTCAGAGGACTCCAAGGCCTTCTCCCAACGTCCCATCAGCAGGTGGGAGCTGCCCGGAGAGCCCAGGGCAGGGGCCGCCACTCTGCCCCGAGCCTGGAGGAAACCCCCAGGCAGGCGGGAGCCTTGAGCAGGTTCAGAAGGAGCCCAGTCAACACGGGCCGCCGGCAGGGTGGTGGCCCTCCCTCAGCAGCACCGTCTGAGGGAGGTTTCTACCAGGCCACCACCAAGCCCACAGTTCAGATCCTGGGCCTGGCCTAAGTCACCTGGCTCCTGGGGCCTGAGCCCTGGGCTCCAGGCCCCTCTTACATCCATGAGTCCAGGGCCTTGGTTCTCTGTGCTGCTGACCCGGGAAAGAGGCCGTTCACGTCAGCGGAGACCACGGCCAATGCCCTTCCCTAGCTTCCCTCAGGCGCCAGAGAAAAGGGCTTCCTGCTCTAAGCAAGCTCTGCAGGTATTGAGTGGGTGGCCTGAGAGGAGGTGAGGGCCCGGGACCCACCGCCGCCCTCCAGAGCCCTGCCCCACGGCCTCCGTGGATGGGCCAGTGTCCCAGTGGGGCCCTCTCCCTGTGGGCAGGCCATCCAGTCGCCCTTTCTAGGGCTTCCACGTGGGCTCTGCAGTAGCTCTCCTGCTGGGGTTCCCCAAGGGGGACAGGGTCTCCTGCCCATTCACCTAGGCAGTGGGCTGTGGAAACCCGTGAGCTCTGGGAGGAGGGGAGGAAGGGAGGTGGGGAGGACTCTGGGCGCCTCAGCTCAGTGAGGCTGGAACAAAGGGCCCTTCTCTCTGCTTGGGGGGCCTACGGGCAAAAGGGGACGAGGGTGTCTAATCTCGGGGCTGGGCAGCTGAGGAAGGGCGAGAGCGAGGCGATGGGCCAGGCCAGCTGTCACAGTCGGACCCGTCCTTCCAGCCACCAGGTCACTTCACGGGGACCTCGGGGGCCTCCAGCCACCAACCCCCCAAGCAAGCGCAGGACAGGATCTGCGTGAGTACAAAACTGACCTTTTATTGTTAAAACACAGCCGGGGCCCCTCAGGGTGTGGGGGGGCTGTCGAGCACAGGGCTGCAGGTGCGGTCTGGGCGGTGCCTCCCCGGCTCACTCAGCGGAGCTCAGGTCGGGCCCGTGCTGCCCCAGCAGCGCCTCCAGGTGGTCAGCCCGCTTCACCGCAGCCTGGAACAGACACCAGCCTGGCGCCTTCAGCCCAGTCCTCCCACTCTCAACCCCTCCCCCAGGGCGGCCGCGGCCCCACCCCCAGAGACCCACCTCATGCTGCTTCCGGAGGGCGCTCACAGTCTCTTCCTTCCTGGCCAGGGCCATCTTGACCCTGCGGGCGTGTGGGAGGCGGGCTTCTGTGCAGCACAGTCCTTTGCCCCCCAGCACCTGCCCCAGCTCCATCCCCAACCTTCAAGTGCAGCAGAGATGGCCGCAGGGTGGGGTCCTCCCAAAGGGCGTGGGCCCCTCTCACCCTACTGACCACGTGTTAGACCACATGTTAGGCCACGTGAGGGACGGTGACGGGGCTGTGAGCTCAGTGATCGCCCCAGGCCACTGCCACAGAACCAGAAGCCAGAGCGGGTGCAGCCCAGGGCAGGCTCCGTTTGAGTCAGGGGGCAGCCCCTGCCCTGTGACAGGGCCCAGGAGCGCTGAGGACCCGGACAGCTCTGGATCTGAGAATCAGGTAGGGCACTCTCCCGCCTTCGCGGAAGCTAGCCCCCTGAATGCACAAAGGGCCCACACCAGTTCCTGCCAACGGCCCCAACTCTGTGTCCCCTGCAGGAAGCAGGACGCCTGCCCTACTCTACTCTCTCACCTGAGGCCCCATTCCTCTCCACCCCTGCTCCTCCTCCTCTGGTGGTGGTCTGCCACTGACTGTCGGACAACTTCCCCAGCCTCCTGTGGGCACACGCAGACCCCTCACCCACTCAGGGCACCCTCCCTGGCAGGACAACCCTCCCCAGCAGTGCACCGCTCCTCCTGTGATGCACCCCCACAGTGCACCCCAATCTCCTGCAGGGCACCCCCTCCCCTGCAGTCCACCCCCCTCCCTTAAAGTGCACCCCCCTGCAGTCCCCGCTTATGGTGTGCCCCCCGCATTCCCATCTGCAGTGCACACCCCTGCTGTGCATATCCCCACCTTCACTCCATCCCCCCATGGTGCGCCCCCCACCTTTGGACCATCTCCCCATGTATCCCCATTGCAGGTCACACACTACCTGTGGTCTATCCCACCTGTGGTGTATACCCCTCACCTTTGGTCCACCTTCTGCGTGATGCACCCCCACCCGCAGTCCAAGCCCCTGGGTGTGTCCACCTCCCTGCAGTGTGCCCCCACCTTCAGTCCACTCCCCCCGTGGTGTGCCCCCCTTCTTCCCACACCCCCGCAGTGCGTCCCCCACCCACGGCCCACACCCCAGGAGCACGTTCTCCCCACCCATGGCGCACACCCCTGCAGCTCATCCCCC